GCCAGTGAAGCAACGTCCTCCACAACTAGACTGAAGAACAAAACAACAGCAACTTGTCTGTTCCCCTTCCCCCATTCCCCAGCGCTGTTCCCATCTCCCAATTCCCCAATAAAAAATCTTTAAAAAATAAAATAAAATAAATAAAAACAATCTATATCATTACCATTAATGGAAAACCTGTCACTTGCTCTGAGAAAACAAAACCATAAAAATAAGTACAATGAAAACAAAACAATGTTATTAAAGTCTTAACTAGATTCTGACACTTGTGAAACTGTCTGAGACTTGTTCCTTCCCTGTTAAAAAAAAAAAGACATGAAATTAGCAAGTATTAAGTGACAGGTTAGCACCAAACTGAGACTCTCTTAATATAAAGGAAATATTAGAAAAGCGATCAACTTTCTCACTGTGTTATCTAGTGCTGTCTGCAAGGACCACCTAAAAACATTTCAGTTGGCATGGTACCCATACTTCGAAAAACATTGCTTTAACTGATGCATCATCATATTGTTTCCTCTGCCTGATTGGTCGGTGGCTGATTTGGGTTTACTCCTGTTATTAAGGGAACAACAGCCACCTTCGTGGTCAAACCACAGTTACCCTTGAGTAAGTTGTAAAGATTTACTAAAAAGATAGACTTAGGATATTCTTTTTATTGGCTCATTTTCTCCAAGGGCTACATAATTTATATTCCAGAGTCAGTAATGTAAAATGAAAATAAACTTTTCCCTAAGACTCAGCAACCAATGAATCAGTCACTGAGGGAAGCATCCAGGAAAGGGGCTTGAAGGTAGGCTGAATGTGTTGGAGCGTCTTAGTAAAACTCTTGAGTGCAGGGAGCAGAAGCCCACTGACACTAGCTCAGGGGAAAGGGGGTGTTGCTGTGAACCCTGTGGGAGTAGGGCAGGATGCAGTGTTCTAAGGCCTCATGGAAACAGCTGTCAGGATCTGAAGCTTTTTTGTCACCTGAGAAAGTGCTCATCTCTGCTTTTACCTGTGTGTCTATCCTTTTCTCTGCTTGGTTCTTCAGACAGTTTTTTCCTAATTGTCAGTATATCCAGGGCCCGACATGTTGGCTTTTTGGCCACACCAAGCTGTGGTTAGAGGATGAAGAGGTCATTAGCCTCCCCTCACAAGCTTAATCAGCACTGCTCCTCCCCCATTTTTTTGATAAAGAAATTGACATTTTTCATTCTTTTATAAGTGTTATGTGAATGAGGTAGCAAGAGAGAACTCCTTTTCTTCACTCCCCATCAACCAGCTTGCACCCCCTAATGCTTCTTCAAAATGGAAATTCCGGAGCTGCTGCTGGTAACTGGGACTCATATTTATTACCTTCCAAATGAGCTTTAGCTGTCCTGGTGCTTTCTGACTCCGGCTTTCAGTGATGCAGTTACAGATCAGGCACAAACCTGATTTAACCAGGTTGGGCCAATGTCCACCCCACTGGGCGACAATTACACGGTCTAGACATGGTCATCCAGTCCTGCCCCTTCAGCAGAGGCAGTGAGAACCCTTCCCGGAGAGGAGGACCTGGGCAGGGAGAGACAGTAATGTCGGAGCCTTGTCAACTACAGAAGGAAAAATTAGGTGTTCTTCGAGTCCTGACCCCTGGTCTGATCCTCAGATCTGGGGTCTCATCTACTCTTTGACCCGGCTTCAAGCTATATTCTATACACCTGGAGTTTTGCAGGACTGAGTCAGAAGCGTCTTAGAACTGACTCAGAATGAGGTCAGCATCACGTCTTTAGGAAGAGAAGGTGTTATTTAGTGAGCTGAAATGTCTCTGTCATATTCTGTGAAGGACAATGAAGGTCTATTGACTGAGCTAAGGATTTAAGAAAACTGGTATTAGATATTGGGTATTCAGGCCAAGGTTGTATGCTTCTAGATTTCTGTGATTCCCCAGTCTCTACCTGAGTGTTGTCTTTGATCTTCCTTTGTAGGTTGTGATTCCCTCCACAGTAAAGTTCTTTTTAACTTTCTTCGCTAGATTGTGATTCCTTCCAGACTAAGGTTTTTAATCTTTTTACCTAGCATTATTGGCTCTCACCCACACGAAGCGCATTGAAGGCTGAGGAGAGGAAACTCATGTGTTCATGTGGCTATCTGTTACAAGTTTTAGTAAAGTATTCATTGGAGACAAATTGAAACCATTAGGTAAACGATAGTCTGTTTCTGTTATTTGGGACACTCTGGGCCACCAGGGCCATAGATTATTTGGAGTGGTTTATGCCTTCTCTGTCCCTATGCTGACTTGAGACCTTGATGAGCAAAGAGCGACCAGTAGTGGGAGTAGTAGGTTGTGAACTGCTTGCTGTGTGTTCAGTCATCTTTCTACATTTATAATCCACAGCTACCACCCTCTTTCCCACTTATAACACTTCTCATTTTCCTTCTCTGGAAATGAATCTTTGCTTTTATTATTTTTAAATTTAAATTTATTATTTTTTGTTAATAGACTTGATTTTTTTAGAGCAGTTTTAGGTTTTCAGAAAAATGAGCATAAAGTACAGAGAGCTCCTAAGTATCCCCACACTCCTGCCTCCCCCTCACTTTCCCCTGTTATTAACTGTGGCACACTTTTTTTTTTTTTT